ATAGTGACTAGAAGAACATCTGGACGGTGGTAATTCAGCAACGCGACGATGACACGATGATGAGAGGAGACTGCAGGGACCAGGGTTCAGCCGGACCGGGAAGTATTTGGACCGAAGGGTATATATATTGATGATAATGGCTGAAAGGATTGCCTCAGCAGAGAGGTAGAAGGGAATCACGACTGTTTTGGTCGCATGCCATGGACAGGACGTGTATTCTGTGAAAGTAAAGCCTCTCACGTGTTGTCCAAATATTGCAAGTCTCTCTCTCTCTCTCTCTCTCTCTCTCTCTCTCTCAAGGGTGCTCTCACTCTCATGGTCCTCCCAACTCAAGGAAAAAAGTAAGAATTCAGGGAAATATGGCAGTTTCGGTGAAAAAATCGTCAAAATTCGCCGAATTTTGGGCCTTCCATTAACCGCTGAGAGAGAGAGAGAGAGAGAGAGAGAGAGAGAGAGAGAGAGGCTTACTGCATGTTGTCCAGTTGATGTAGCTCAGTGGTTAGAGCACCGGTTGGAAATGCACATTGTGGTATGAGGTTGCAGGTTCAAACCCGCAGCCTCACGCATGGAAACCGGCAGGGCGTTAGAATGACGCACGGCTGGACACACCCCTTGGGCTGACGCATGGTAAGCTATTTTACAGACACTGCCTGCACACCACCCAGGGACTGCCCATGGTGTTGTATGTTGGGTCCTGGCCTATGAGGGGTTTGCCCGATACAGTTAGCAGTCTAATGAGGATGCAGGTACGGGTTTGTGGTTAGACTGCTCATGTGTGTTGGTTACCTTAGGCTCTGCTTTGGGGGGGCCAGGGACCTGAGGTGGGATGGGGTCCCGTTTGGGGGGAGAGTTAGCTTGGGACAAGCTCTGCTGGAGGGTATCCGTGGGGAACCTACAGTAGGGGATTGTTTTAAGGGATCCCGGTAGGAGGGGTGTTAGTAGACAGACTCTGGTGGAGGAAATTGTTGGGGAACCTGCAGTAGGGGCTGTCTGAGGGGGATCCACCAAGATAGGATGGTCTGGGTCCCATAAATTAGTTGCTGACTGTAGATAGGTACCTGTCGTGGGTCCAGAAACCGACCTCTACAACACCCTGGACTTTTTCAAAAAAAAAAAAAAAAAAAAAAAGAGTTGGGCGGTCATAGCCGAAGTCGATGAAGAAGACAACTAAGTTTGGTGTTGGCTACTGAGACTATTCTGGACATCGTATCTCCTGCGTGTTTTATGAGTTGTACGATGTGAAGCAAGACTCGCGCTCGAGTGCTCCCCACATGGTGGTCTCACTGCAATAGTGCATGTGGAACACGAATGCCGAAGTGAAACAGATTCTGAACCAACTTCAACCAAGCACAGGAGCAAAACCGACATATGGCCGTGACAAAAGGAAATGATGTGGGTGATAGGTTGATGGGGTAATTAGCTGACTGCCTTGACAGTGGTTAACATAGACAAGTGTTATTCATTTTGAGAGAAATTTTGACTCTATTCCAGATAGAACGGCGATGCCAGCAATCCCGTTAGTTTCAGGCACCTCAGGGGTCTGGTCCCACCTACGGTTGTTGAGTTTAGAAAACTCAATGGTGTGACGCCCTGTCGACATTAATAAATTCGAAACAACAAATAAAAAAACTGAAAAAAACGCTAGAAACAGCTTTTCTCCTTATTTTTTATAACATAACTGGGAGAAATGAAACATGTCGGAGTGAACGTCTCCGTGAAAAAAGGATACTCCTCGCGGTGAGGGGACAGGAGGTCACCATTTGTAAAATGGACAGGGACGACGTGGATGGCCAAATGCATTCATTGCCCAAAGAAGGAAACGAGTTTGATGCCAGACAGCCAAACACAGCTGTCAGAGTTCCTCCGTTTCAGGATGCAATGAGGACTAAAAAAACAAAAAAAAGGAAAGGCACTGAAGTTGAGAAATGTACCCTACCCTCGGTAGGGTACTTTTCTCAACGAAAAATGGCTTCCCGCCCAAACCAAAAGGGCCAACGCATACTACAAAACGGATTTCACGTCAAAAAAAAAATCTACAAAATGACTAAATCTAATAGATTATTCTCCTGTATTTTGGTACCGTTAGATTTGCAATACATCAACGGCAGAGCTCCGTCCCACCATGCCACACATGATAGAAAGCTCCGCGTTGAGAAAACTCAACACTGTAGGTGGGACTAGACCCCAGAGGTACCAAGATTTGAAGAGGGTTCTGTTTTCTGTTAAAAAAAAAGGGAAAAAAAAAGGAGCCAGAACCATAAGGTTCTGTTTTTTGTTTAAAAAAAAAAAAAGAACAACAGATTTGAAGAGGGTTAGGGCAGAAGACTACCGGTGTTAATGGAATGATGGAAGTCCTAGGCCAGAATGCATTCACTTTGACTTTCACTTTGACTTTCACTTTGACTTTAGGAGTAACCACCGTAGGAGTCAGACTACCGGGAGTGTGGCTTCGTTAATTTGTGTCGCTTGACGGTATTACGATGGCGAATGTACCTGCCACGTCTAGCGTACGGACCTGCTATAACTGTGGGGATCCCAACCACTTCGCTAGATGGTGTCCTCATCCCAAGCAAGGAGGCGGTTCGGGGTCATCTTTTCAGGCGGGCCCCATTCTGTCTCTGCCTGCACCTTCAACCTCGTTACCTCCACCCCCTCCTCCACCTCCTCCACCTCCTCCACCTCACCCATCTTCCTCTTCCATTCCTGTGCAGAATGTTCTGCCTTCTGGCACGACGACGGCCAGCTCAAGTGGACTGTATGCCAAGGGCAGTGGATGGTTTAACACCAATCAGCGAGTAGTGGCGTTAGAAGAAACTGTGACAGTACTGAAGGCGTGGTACCACACTGATACGACACAAAGATGGCCAAGGTACTGGCCAAGCAACAAGAAGAAGAAAAGAAGAAGCGGGCTTTGGAAGAAGAAGAGAGTAGGTCAAAGGAGAAGAAAGATCGTGAAGAATTTCAGAAGCAGTTGAACGATGCGTGGAATGCGAAGTTTGAAGCTATGTGTGGTTCTCTGCGCAGCGGTAGAGGTGCAGGTGCCAATGAAGAGGAAATCAACAAATTAAAGAAGCAGGTTGAATCACTGCAGATTCGTAATACGCAGGGTAACTCGCTGGGAGCCTCTACTAGCAAGGCGGCGGGAGGGGATGATGCATTTCTGGCACGTATGATGCAAGAACAAGAGATAATCAAGCAACCGATGGAAACTGCGATGAAAGCTTGCCAGCGAATGGAGAGCTTGGAAGAAGAGATTCGAACTTTGAAGAAGGCAGAGGAGGAAGCGGTGATGGAAGCCGAAATTTGGAAGAAGGAGGCGCTGAAATCGGGAAACAAACGTAGCCGCATCGCCACGTCACCGTCGGCACATCTCTAGGTGCCACCGTTGACTCCATTACGGTCACCCGCCAAACTTGACCAGCCGCGGCAGCTGCACAATCTGGAGGTGGAGGCTCTCAAGGAGCTTCGTTTGCAAGAATTGAATCGAGGACGTGAGACAGAGCAGGAGAATGCCAAACTTAAAGAGGAGTTGAGTAAGCGGGATGCTGGTAGGAAGGAGACACCCCGATCCTCCTTCCCTGACCGACTGGATGATGTAGACAAAGAAGGGAAGGCAATACACAAGTCCAGTAAAGGAAAGAAGAAAGTCGGAGAAATCGATAGCAACACAAATGTCGACCGAGAAGTCTTTATCAGGGAAGCGGCGAAGGAGTTGCGAGGTAAGAAGAAGGATGCTATTACCGAGATCTGTCTAAAAGAAGGTGCTAAGTACACCACTCTCGGTGAAACCATTGCGGAGATCATCGCCAAGAGAGTCGAGAGGGCGTTTGGCAAGCGACCTGCCATTCAGGAGTTGTCTGATGACGTGGCTGGTGATCCGCTGCACGAAGACAAAGAAGATGGGAGGGATTCGGCTACTTCTTAGGATCCCTCCTGAGCGCGGCTAACTTGTGGTCATTGGCTGATCTGTGTATGGGATACAGACTTTCTTCGATTAAAAGCTTGAGGTCGAAATTTGTTGATGATCTATTTCGATGGAGTGCTGTTGCGTTAATTTTTTTGGAGGAGATTCCGTGGGCAGAGAAGTTGTCTTCCTTTACTTTCCATTGGTGACAATCGGGTGAGGTGGTGCAGGACCCTCTTATCTATGTTCTCCGTTCTCCTTCGTGTAGACATCTTTATGTGGGTTGCACTAAGCGTGGACTATTGGTGAGATGGAGTGAGCACGTTTACAAGGCGTGTGATAGTTGCCTGATTAGCAGAGGTCAACGCAACGAAAAGTTGGCAAGTATGTGGCTATTCCGATCTACTATTGTTCAAAGGAAGACCTTGAATGTGTAGAAAAGTTTTTTATTCGTTATTTCTCAACCTCTCTCAATGCTAGGGACAAACCACGGAAATCGAGAAAGAAGAGACCAGGAAAAAGGGAACGAAGAAAACTTAGTCGGAAATATGGAACACTGTCGGTCCGCAACCCTGTGTATGAAGTGGGTAAGTGGTTGGATGATGTGACAGACCCGCCGGCATGACGGTCCGTCAGGATGAAGACGAAGGGATGAGGATGGGGGAGATGGAAATGGAGCTGGAAGGGACAGCGCAACTCCAACGCAGACTCAACACGCACGTAATCCAATCTGTGCAAATGAGGAATGAATCAAAAACAGACTACAGCTGGGGTATACCCCCAGCGGACTGACTGACTGGACTGGCCTGGTACCGACAGTGGTACCGGGCAGGACTGGCAAATAGCCAAATAGGCCCTGGCTGTAGGCCAGGGCAGATGAAGGCCCGTTGCACGATCCTCAGACCTGTAATGGACCGCAAGAGCCATAAACACGCTATCCGCAAAAGCAACGGAACTCTGCAATAAAGAAAGCTGAGAAATCTAGGATGCGGAGCAAGCTCCATGCGGAGTCCATGCGATGCATCCTAAGCTACATAATGTCAAAAGAAAAACAAATGTCTGGTATCCATATCCTAGCTAATAGCAAAAAGTGAAATGTAGCAATATACAATCCTAAAGTCCTGGAGGCAATTGCCTCAGTGTTGAAAGGAAAAAGAGCAATATGACACAAGATAATGTCTTGTCGCTGAACCACTAAGGGTGGGATGGTCTCAGAGGGGGTGAATGCAGCCTAAGAATCGAAACTCCTAAGGGCAGTCACACGTGAAGATGGGATAGGTCATCAGGCTCAAGGTTGGAGAGTGGTAGCGAAACAAAACCAAAAACCCTAACAGATAGACCATCAGGGCGGGTAATGCTCGACAAAAGGATGACACCATGCAGGGTCGACCATGAAAAAAGGGGGAGCCTGGAATAGGGTGGAGATATGCCTAATTGAAGGCATGCAAGGGCCGGCACTAGGGTGAAGAGGGCAGTGGGTGAGGGAAACATGCATACAACTCACCAACTGGGGGAGGAAGGAGCTAGATCTGGGAGCAGGGAAGCCAAGATAACGCTACAGTCCCAATGCCTATGCGATACCAAGGGAGAGACCAACTCAAAGAGACCCAGCTGAGTGAGAACCATCATGTGACAGATGCAAGGGAATGTACAGGGTAGGGTGGTGGCGTGAAGTAGTCACGTCCAAAGTAGCTGAAGCCAATGAGGTGGCTGAAGTCATCGAAGTGGTCGATGACGTCGATGAAGTAGCAGTCGAGTCGATGTCGAAGCAGAGCCGCAAAACGCTGACATCCTGAAGAAGCTGATGATGGAGTACCTGATGGTGTGAGTCAGTAGGGGAAAGATAGAGGATAAAAGTGTCAGTCATCGTAACGCGAAGGGCGACGATGAGTGCGCTGTGGACGCTCGGAGGCGACCGTCTGCGGCTGAGGAACGGCCTCAGAGGGAGCGGGCTCGTCCTCAGCAATCTCCTCAACCGGAGGAGGAGGAAGAGGGTCAGTCGGCTGAGCAGGGGCAGACATCTCAGCACGACGAGCACGATCGTATGCATGCACCAACATCCTGGCGTGCTGCAAGTGCTCGAGGGGCTCCCAAGTAGCCTCCTCATCAGGGTAGCCCTTCCAACGCACAAGGTACTCGATGCGTGGAGGGGTATCGTCGGTAACTCGGCGTGATACGATGTCGGAAACAACGAACTCCTCGTGACCGTCCACCATGATAGGTGGAGGGCGCTCATAAGGGCATCCGGCGAAGTGCTCGGACGGTCTGCGATAAGGACGCAGCAAGGAGACATGGTAAACATCGTGTACGCGAGCCTGTCGAAGGTAATCAGGTAGCTTCACACGGAAGCTGACCGGACTAGCGGCAGTATCAGAACCGACGGCCGGAAGGATGCGGCATGGACCGAAGAAACGACGCCTGAACTTGCGAAGCGTATCTGCTTCGAGCTGTAAGTGGCGTGCGTCGACGAGCACATCATCACCGACTTTGAATGAATGATCCATTCGTGATCGGTTTGCTCGTGTGGCCATGCGAGTCTGGGAGTCGGCTAAACTCTCGTGTGCGCGCTTCATAATCGCCGCCATGTGGGCGATCCAGTCGTCAAGCGCAGGGCAACGAGTGTCTGGGCGCAACCGCGATGGTCGTAGGAAATCCGCGGGTACGGGAGGGTGGTAGCCGAGGTCGCAATAGAATGGCGACATCCCCGTGGTTGGCGAAATAGCGTGGTTGTACGCGTGGGCTAAGTGTAAGTCCCACTGCTAGTCATCCCTAACAAACTTTCGGAGGATATTACCGAGAGTTTTATTGGTGACCTCAGTCTGACCATCCGTCTGAGGGTGGTAAAACGATGAAAAGCGGACCTGGGATCCGTACACCTCGTGTAGGCGTCGCCAGAATGTGCTGGTAAAGCGCGGGTCACGGTCGGAGATGATGCTCTGAGGTAAGCCGTGATCTCTCACGACTCGGTCGAAGACGATGTCGGCGACCTCACGAGCGTTAATGCGATAGCGGCACGGGACAAAACGTGCACGCTTCGTGAAGCGATCGACGACAACCAAGATAGCATCATGACCGCGCTAAGTGGGTGGGCGGAGGGGACCAATGAAATCCATCGAGATGGACTGCCAACGACCTTCAGGTATGGGTAGGGGCTGAAGTAACCCATACGGAAGGTGGTTCGCACTGTTCACCTCCTGGCAGGTAGGACACTACTGGATGTAGGCTTTGACAAAGTCCTTGGACTTCGGCCAGACGTATAGGCAGCAAACACAAGCCAACGTCTTGTGGAAACCCATATGACCGGCAGCTGCCTGGTCATGGAACTCTGCTACAGCCTGGACGCGGAGCTGTCCGGTGGAGGGAACGCTGATACGTGGTTCTAGCTGACCAGATCTGCCATGCCAGTACATGAGGCCGTTCTCCCCGAGGGAGTAGGAAGGAACGGTCTTGCCACTCCGCAGTGTCGCGTGGATGACGCGATAATCGGGGCAGCGGCGGTACTGAGTGCGATACGGGTCGATCACCGACTGATCAACAGTGTTGATGGAGATGGCAGCAAGATGGATGGGTTCCTGATTTTGATCAGGACTGCGGGACAAGGAATCGGCGACGGAGTTCGTTTCACCCTTGATGGGTTGAGTGGTGAAACTGAACTCGGATAAGTCACGCCACCAGCGTGCCTGTCGAGGGGAAAGCTTAGGCTTCGTGAGGAAAGTCTGAACAACTGAGTTGTCCGTGCGCACCGTGAAGGGTGCCCCGTGCAGATAATGACGCCAATGCCGGGTAGGATAAACTACTGCGAGAACCTCACGTTCATCGGCAGTGTAGTTTATATCGGCAGGCAGTAGCTGACGGGAGTAGAAAGCGATCGGGCAATCCCCAGCACGAGCCTCGACAGTCCCATCCTCCGCGATGGTCAGGGAGTAAGTATCAGGAGGACTGTCAGTCGTGGGAAGTGGTAGGAGGGTAGGCGTCAGTCGAGAAGCAGTGTCAGCAGGAGGGGGGGGGAAAGGAGGAACATGGGGGTAAGGTGAATCTGGAGGAGAGGGAAACACATGAGAAAGGACAACTCCTACTGCAAAATCTGACGCATCGGTGGTGACGATAAAAGGACGATCAAAATCGAGAAGGCGAAGAACCGAGGCACAGGTCACCGCCTTCTTGAGGGCGCGRAAGGCGTCCTCGCASAGGGGTGTCCAAAACCACGGCGGGTTCTTCCGGAGGAGGGTRGARGTAAGGACGTAGGAATACCTAGCGTATCCCTGGATAAAATTACTATAGTAGCTGGTGAGGCCTAGAAAGCTGCAAAGCTGCTTGGCAGATGTGGGGACGGACCACTTTGCAATAGCAGTGATCTTCGCGTCGTCCATGTGGAGACCCTGGTCAGACACATGGTGTCCTAGGAAGTCCACTTTGCGCTGGGCAAAGCGGCACTTACTGAGCTTGGCATAAAAGCCTTGCTTGCGTAAGCGCTGTAGGACATCGCGGAGGTGTCTGAGATGGTCTTCTAAGGTACGACTGTAGACCAAGATGTCATCCAGGTATACGAGAACGTATTCTTCAAGGATGTCCCTGAAGATGTCGTTCATCGCCGTCTGGAAGGTGGCGGGGGCATTGGTGAGGCTGAATGGCATCACCGTGAACTCGTAGTGGCCGAAGCGCGACCGAAAGGCGGTCTTCGGCTGATCCTTTGTGGCAACGCGGATCTGGTGGTAACCGCTACGAAGATCGATCTTCGTGAAGAAGCGGTTGTCTGCCAGACGATCAAACAGCTCATCCGCGCGGGGCATGGGATAGCTGTTCTTAACCGTGTAATGGTTAAGGCCGCGGTAGTTGATGCAGAGGCGAAGAGTTCCGTCCGCTTTGCCCCCAAGGGGAGTTACTGGGTTTAATGAAACCCAGTCGAAGGAGCTCCTCAAGCTGACGCTTGAGTTCCGTCGCCTCTGGAATCGAGAGTCGGTACGGTGCCTGATGGTGAACACGATAGTCAGGCACGAGCTGTATAGAATGCTCAAGACCGCGCATCGGGGGAATCCCGCTGTATGAGAAGTACGGGGGAAAGACGTCGCGGTACTCTCGAATCAGGTTGTGAACGGCGGGCTCTAAGTCTGCCGTGAATCGTGTGAGTTCCTCAGCGTCTGCGTCGGCACGAGACGTATATGTGGACTCGACGGTCGGCGGCGCAGGGGCCTGGGACGTGGAGGGGGTATCCGCAGGCTGACGGGTGGATGTGGAGAAGGGAGCCGAGAAGATGGAGGAAGGGTCAGGGGGATCGGGCTCCAGTGAGATGGGCTCAACCTCGGGACAGAGTGGATCATAGCGAAGGAGATCCATGACGTTCACTGAGTAGAATGTGACGTCCTCCTGTCGGATGAAGTGAGCAAACTGACGAGGGGAAGTGAAGGCGATGTCTGGGTGGGACCCAGAGGGACGAGGGTCCTGGGGAGGTAGGTCTGGGGGGGTGTCACCCGTGGTTCCAATGAAGGGGACTCGAAGGGTCTGGCCGCACTTCGTTTTGAGAACGAGTGTCTCGGTCGCCCATTCGGCCTCTGTGTTGCGGAACCGGCGAGACCAGGGAGTGCCAAGGATAAAGTCGTACCCAGTCTCCAACTGATCGAAGTATGCGAAGTAATGGTAGCGCCTAGGCGTCTGGGTACTATTCGATGGATGGAGGGTGAGGGAGAAGTGGAGGTCGGGGACCGTCTGATTGAAGAAGCGCTGCGTCTTGTTATCTCCGAGGGTAACGGAGATAGGAGAGCAAGACCCAGAGGTAGCTAGGCGAGCTTCCTCAACCACTCAAGGGTGAACGAAATCTCCCTGCGAGTCGCGATACACCCTTGTAGATGTCCCTAGGCAGATAGGGATAATGGGTAGGGTGCGATCAGGATCAGAGAGCAGAGCGAGAAGACGACGCAGGACGTTGACGTGCCTCGTGAGTCGCTCCTGACGAGCCTGCAGAATGCTCAAGTGCAGGAGAGATGACACAACGTCATCGCGAGTCGCCAGCTGAGTGCTACAACGGGCTGTGCGAATGGCGCGACGCGTCGGAAGTCTCGGGGGAGAAGCGCTAGATGTGGCGGTCTGCGGGGAGGCAGACAGTACCTCGACAGACGACGGGGCCGAGAGAACTGCGTCTGTCGTATCTTGAGGGTCCTCTGGTGGGGTAGCCATGGCAACCCGCGACTCGGTGGTCGGGAAGCCGGCTACGTGCGAGGCCTCAGGGGTACACTGCACCGTGGTTAGCTGGATGGGGCTGGCTGGGCGGGGCCGGGGGGGGACTGAGATCGACGCTGACGAGAAATGTCAGCGTAGTACCGATCGAGGGCGGTGTGGTATGGACACCGTGAGGAGGTGTGTCCATCCTGGCGGCAACAAAGGCAGCCTCGTCGAGCCTCGAGGGCGGCACGCTCCTCGGGGAATAGAGCTCCACGAGGAGGGACAAAACCCTGCGGGAGGTCTATCTGAGGAACTGTGGGTGTGCGGGTGCCAGCCTGTGTAACCCGACTGCATGCACGACCCATGGTAGACATGGCCATCTGCAGGCGCTGGGGACAGTGTCGTCATCCAAGTGGTACTGAATGACGTCCCGAGGCTCGATGTCCTCGGGGGCGTCCCCAATGGTAGGATCGAGCTCGGCTGAGGCGTCCTCTCCATACTCGAGAGAACTGTATTGTCGAGCGAATGGCGCTCCGCGTCGAGCCGGGCGACGAAAACGACCGGCAAACGAGGAGCGGTCTCGGGTGGTACCCCGAGACTGGGAGGTGGCGGCTGGCCGCGAAGAGGATGGGGCGACGGAGAAGCGACTGCACATCCTCTAGTACTGACGCGCAACCTCGTATGCTTGCTTCGCGGAAGAAAATGATCGCCTCCATAGCTCTAGGCGGTAGTCAGTCGGCAGGCTGACAAGGAACTGGTCGGTGAGTGTGACCTCCGGTAGGAACGTCTCGTCACAAACAAGGCGAGCGTCCTGAAACACCCGGATGTGACGCTCCAGGTCGGCCGGTACAGAGGACCCGGACCATCTGGTCTGGGTGATGCGGTCTAAGGCGTTGGTGGCGTTATGACGAGGGTCGAAACGGTCCTGAAGGAAGGCCGCAAAGTCGGCCAGAGTGGGGACCTCACCCACGCAGAGGCGCTGGGTATAATGATCCTCCCACGCAGTGGAAGGGCTACCTCGCAATTTGGTTGTGAGCACATCGCACCACAACTCCTGACGGGTGGTCGTCATAGAGAGCGTGCGCGTTGCTATCTGCAACCAGCGAGAGACACGAGATGTCCCATCATACTCGGGGATGTCCGTGGTGCGCACAGGAGGACGTCCACTGTGCTGATGGCGGGGGGAGAGAGATCGAGGCGAGTGCACTGCGGCAGCGTAAGTCGAGGCCGCTGCAGGGGCAGAAGTGGGGGAAGGCTATGGGCCGTGGCCGTTGGCGGATGGACCAGCAAACGAGGAGGCAACGGCCGTGGGCAGCTGTCCCGGAATAGCGAGGTAGGAGGGAAGAGGCTGAGGAGCAGGTCGAGGGAAACGAGCCTGCATCATGGGGACCGAAGAGGTGGTAGAGGAAGAAGGGTGGGCAGCCTGTGATGGGTGAGGCTGTCTCAGAGCGAGAATCTCCGCCTGAGCCTGCGCAATGGTGGCCTGTAAAGTGGCCACTCGCTGGGTGCGCGGGGTCGGAGGTGGAGGGGGCGGAGCGGGTCTCACAGTGGGAGGAGGAATCCCAACCTAGGCGGTACCCTGCTCTGGGGGCGGGGGGACGAAGGCAGGAAGAAGAGGGTGGAGCCGTATTGCCGCGACCGGTGCGGGAAGCTGGGAAGCAACACCGGTGTGGGTCGATGAAACTGCTGGGCCATAAGGCGGTACCTGGACCGCAGCACCTACGGCAGTAGTAGAGACGGTAGGGGCGGCCGTGGCCGGGAGAACTGCCGCAACAGACGGGGTGGTCTGAGCGGCAGCAGCACTCGCCACTGCTGCGGGGGAGTGTTGGGTTTTGCCCGCAGAGGAAGGGGAACCACGATGTCTCCGACTCTGGAGTCGTGGGGAGCCGGACTAGGAGCCGGTAGGGGATGGGGTATGGGAGCGGTGGGAGAGTGATGAGGAGAGCCCTTGAGGCGGTTGACGTCAAGGGCAAGCGCATTGATTTGCGCTTGCAACGGTCCAAGCGTACTAAGTTGCGCCTGGATCGCTACGAGGGTGGCATGAAGGTCCATCGTGTCCTCATGGGCCTGACCCTGACTCGCTGGCTGAACGCTCACCTGGGAGGTGGATGGCGTCGCGGTGATCTCCTCAAAGGAACTTCCTTCCATGGTCGGAAGAGAAAGGGAGGTAGAGCTAACAGGGGTGTGTGGGGAGAGGGTCTCGCCAGTAAGAGGAAGTGGACCGTGGGAGCGGAATGAGTATGTGTGAGTCGGCTCACCCCGGATTTGGCGGGTCGCGCGTGAGAAGAACGCGCCAAACCGCTCGAGGGGGGAGGAGCCGTTCGGGTCCAGGGTGCCCGACGGGAGGAGGCGGGAGAGTAGGAGGTTTAGAAGAACCCTAAACCCTAGAAAAACCCTAAGAAAACCCTAACCGGAGTTTAGGTGTTTAGGGGAGGGTACCGGCAACCTAATCAAGAAAAAAAGATAATATGGAGGGGAGGGGGAGAGAAAATAGAATAAACAATAAAATTTCGAGATAAAAATAAAATAAAAAAATAAATAGAAATAAATAAATAAATAAAATATAGCGATTGAGGAGAGAAATAATATTTATTTTTTTGGAATTTTCGACAGCATTTTCCCACCCCGCATGAGGTCAAAAATGTGCCAAGAGGAAGGAAAGTGCAAGAGGGACACACTAACTTTCAAAATGCCACAAATTAAAATTTTCAGAAAAATAAATGAGTAAATAAATAAATTAAATAAGGAGGTGGAAGAGGATGAAGAGAAGCTAAGTTTTGGAATTTTTCAAAAATTTCGGAAGCATTTCGTTACCCCCATGGGGTCGAAGTGTGCCGTCAAGAAAAAAGACTAAGTAGAATGGAAAAATTTGGTCAGCGCTTCGCTACCTCCAAGGGGTCAAAATGTGCGCCGACAACAAAGAAAGACTAAGTCCTAGCAAGATATAGAGGTGCCGCATAAAATTTTGAATTTTCAGAAGAAAAATAATAATAATAATAATAAATCAGAAAATAAGAAAAGAGGTAGGGAATTAGATGATTCAGATTTTTGGAGGAAAAGAAAAATTTTTCATCAAAAAGAAAAAGAAAAGAAGAAAAACAGAAAAAATCGAAGTGGGGGGGGGGGGGG